TTTTTCCCCTAAAAAATCTCACAAATCCACCTAAGTCATAGTTAGCCTAAAAGTCTAAGAAAGTCAACATGCATCCGTACATGTGGCGTACTTAGCTCTATGTTGGGCGTAGAGCGCTCGGCTAGAAAGGATCAGACTCGCAACTGGCTATGCTGGACGTAGCCAGGATTACGCTCGGCGTATGCAGCTGATCCCAAAACTCCTTTTTTTAAGGTCTTCATCATTAAGACACTCCAATCTCATATCTGACCCTAAAAAGACGTCCTAGTCCATGAAGTCTCTGACTTTATGCCTTTGCATGGCTAAAGAGAGCTTAATACCAAAACCCTAACTTCTAACACCACCAAAAGCTCCAAAACACATGCATGGAAGAAAGGAAAGGACCAAGCTAACATTTTATGACTCTAAGCACCCTAAAACGTCTGAAAGGACAACTTATATGCTCTATAGTATTCCATACTCACCAAGATTAAGGTTTTGGGACAAAAGAACACAAATCCAAGCCTAAACAAGATCTAGGAAAATAAGCTCCAAGGTATGAACTTTATACCTTCAAAAGTTGAAACAAAGAGATGTAGATTCTGGATCCAAAGGCTTGAATGCACCACCACTTATTGAATGATCTTCCTTCACTACCAAGAACACTCAAGGATCACTCTCAAGCTCCAAATCTCACTCACAAGGGATAGGATTTCAATTTTAGGGTCTAGAGGAATGTATGCTGGTCATAAGGAGGTACAAGGGGGATTAAGATGTTTAAATAGGGGACACAACCCTAAAAATTTAGGGTTTAGGGATTGCACGAGTACGCCCGGCGTACCCACATGTAAGCCCAACGTACTCCTCCTCCGTCAAGACTTTAATGTTGACCCACACCCGACGTAGATCCTGGTACGCCTAGTGAAAGGGGAAAAATGTAATAATTTAAAATACTAAGGGTTGAAAAGGAAATACCTGACAACGGGTGTTACAAAAACTCTTTACATTTACTATTCTAAGTTTTGAAAATGTTTGTACCCCCTTATCAAATCTTATGGCTCTACCACTACTATCAACTAAGTCTTGAGCGAAACATAATAACATAAAAGTAACATTTATACTTATCAATTAATAGAAATGATCATTTAAAAAGGATCATACGTACAAAAAAACAACTATATTGTTTTTTTATGAACCAAAATTCAGGATAAATTGCTTTTTCTTGAACTGAAATTCAGGATAGCTTAGACGAGAATTTTTTTTTCTCATTTTTAACCAATGCTTTCACTCCAACCATTTTGTAACACTTGACTTTTTAACACAAGATACACCCAAAAATTTCCACTTATTATTTATAAAAACACATTGGTGTATACTTACATTACGAATCCAGTACAAGTAGTTATCATCAGGATCAGTTCAAAGAAATTAAAATACAATGATATGAGTCTGGTATCACTATCTCTCTTCTTTCATCCTTACTGCTTAAATAAATTTTACCTGCAAAATACACATGACGAAAGGATACGCTACAAAGAAATTATACAATGATATGAGTCTGGTATCACTATCTCTCTCTGTATACACATTCTCTTTCTCTATTATTCTCACTACTCATTTTCTATACAAATTATATTTCTTTCTCTTTACTCTCTCTATCCCACTACCTATACTTATACTTTGTCTTTTTTATCTCTATACTCATGTTCTATATCATATTCTATTCTCTTTCTGTCTCTATACACTTGCTCTATCTCTCTCTCTCTCTCTCTCTATATATATATATATATATATATATATACATATATAGACACACACACACACTAGTTGTGAGACCCGTATGCTATACGGGTTGTTAAAATAAATTGTTAAATACCAATGATTAAACAGGAAGTTTATTTGAATTTGAAATTTGAAATAAATGAAAATTATGAGAAAAAAATAAAATAAAAAATAAAAAAACATTCAAAAATAAAATAAATTAAAACTATTTGTTTAGTTGTCAGACCCGTATACTAAACGTGTTAATTATGAAAAAACTATTAAATATAAAAGTTTAAACTATAAATTTATTTGAAATTGAAATTGAAATTGAAAATTTCAAACTTGAAATTAATATACTAATTATGGTACATTTAATTTATGGAAATTATTAATGTTATATTGAAAAATGAAAAATTAAGTAAAATGACAAGTGGAAAATAAATATCTCAAAATTATCATTAAATGACATGTGACCAATTGAATGAGAGAAGGACATGCGACGGAATGAGTTTTATATATATATATATATATATATATATATATATATATATATATATATATATATATATCTATATATATCTATATATATAGGGTTAGGTTATTGTGTTCTAACTATCTATTGTGTGCATGTAGGATTGATTGTGGACCAATCATTTTAGTTATTTTAAGAAAAAATAATTAATGCATGTTACATGTTGAAGATATAATGAGTATTAATTAAATCTTCAGCATTTAATATACATTAATTATTTTTCATAAAATAACTAAAATGATTGGTCCACAATCAATTATACATGCACACAATATATATATATATATATATATATATATATATATATATATATATATATATATAGGGTTAGGTTATTATGTTCTAACTATCTATTGTGTGCATGTAGGATTTATTGTGGATCAATTATTTTTGTTATTTTAAAAAAGTAATTAATGCATATTACATGTTAAAGATATAATGAGTATTAATGAAATTTTCAGCATTTAATATGCATTAATTACTTTCTTAAAATAACTAAAATGATTGGTCCACAATCAATCTTACATGCATACAATAGATAATAAAAACATTTGAACCTAACTTTATATATATATATATATATATATATATATATATACCTCTCTCTCTTTCTCTCTATCCTTTTATCGATATATATTCCCCCTCTCCCTACATCTCTTTTTACTTACACTCGTTATATCTCTATAAATCCCAATTATACTAGCTCATTAACTCATATAACAATACTCTATTATGTGTCTTGATAATACTCGCTCCTTAACTACTACCGTAATATACAATTATATATCTTAGCCATAATCACTCATTAACACATCATGCTATAGTCTATTTCATATCTCGACTACACACACTAAAATTGTAATATTGTGCTATGCATGTCAATTATACTCGTTTGTTTACTCGGATGGTAATAAAATACTATAACTTCCAATTACTCTATTTAATGACTCGTATAGCATTAGACAACTATCATTCTCAATTATCACAAATTCTCAACTCATACGATATTAATAACTAACAATTAAGATACCATACTCTATTCTGAACATACACAATAATTATCACATATGTAGATAATAACTATCTAGAGAAAGATAAGGTTAGTTAGAGAAAGATAAGGTTACTCACTTGGTTAGTTAGTGAAGACTGACTATTATTATGGCTTCCACCCCAACGCTGTTTTCCAATTCATTATTTGTATAACCCTGTTTGGACAATATATCAAGTTCATTAGAACTCGTTTAATCTCATCACTATATATACCGCAATGATCAATTACCTGATCACTAACCAAACTCGGTAACTATTTGTCACTAAACTAGTCATGTTTTCAAATACAATTCACTAACGACTTAATCTCGCAAGCCGTTAACTCAATCGACAAATCTCAGTAAATTAGGGAATTTAACCCATAATGACCAAACTAACATTTAACAATTCACCGGGTTTTTGTTATAGCACCTTATCACGAAATCCCATAACGCATTCTCGGGTCTAACAACCCTATACAAAATATCACATAAATGTATTACATAAAAAGGGGATAAAATATACCTTCGTTAACCCCGTAATTCAACCCTCGTATCCCCTACACTAGTACGATATTATGGTATCAATTCTCTGGAAACACCTCCTGAGCCTCTGCCCCGATCGAATGCGCAAAACTCTCCAAATATCACAAATGGCTCGTATATATACTCGGTCACACCACGCCGTGGTGACCTGAGATTTGACCGTTTGACGTTGACTTTCTCAAAATAGCAACATACTTTCACCTCAACTTCAAACGACCATACCTTCCTCATATGAACTCCGTTTTCGATATCTTTATATCGACGAAATCGTATCAGAGTAATCTATTACTTTCTTTATCTTATTCTTGCCCGTTCTCACACATTAATACCTATTATGAAAATAGGTGTTACATATTTTCTAACAAATCTTCCAAAACTCATACTCTATAATGTCAACGTTATGTTCGACTTTTTTATCCAACGTTCAGTAGTTTGGATTTCCTTTTTTGTGTCCACTATCCGATTTTTCTTGTCTTCAATAACTCATAGCTTATCCTTTCTTTGTTGGCTGACTCGCTTAGATTTCAGTTTTAGTTCTTCGTACTCGACTTGTCTGACATCTACTATCTTTATCGTAGATTCAAAGATGCTTCAAGCATTTAGCTCATTGTTGGAGGTTGAAGAACAACTAGAGCTGGGAATGAATTTTGACAAATCGAAAGAGATGTTTAGATAATTACGTACCGTTTTTGCTATGAAATATGTTCTGAATCGATATTGGTTTAGATAGATTTTAAATATGTAGACTTGTATGCAATCTGATGAATTTGACTAGTATGTTGGATAATAAGTCGTGGGTGAAAATAAAAAGGTAAGTGAGAAATCTAATCGATTTAAACGTTAGGTAAGATAATAAAATGGAAATTGGAGTTTCCATAATGATAATGTAAAATTTCCATAATAGGAATTCCGGAATCCAGAGTTTAATAATTTAAGAATAAAAACATCAATAACTATAAGAAAAAAAAAAAAAAAATAGTTGTTTTCGGGATAATTTAAAATAACGAAAATCGTTATTATTTTTTTTAAGAAACAAAACAAAATGGTTTAAAATATTGCGAGAATCTAATGAGGCTGTTGACCCTTTGACTGTGTCATGTTCTTGGTTTTATGAAAAATTATTAGAGAAGCCACCCATAAGCAATATTTAATTCAATTATTAAACCCATGACTGGATTCCTCCACTCTCGCCTTTACTGCTGGTTTTCCATGAATAAAGACAAAAAAGCAAGGTTAATTATGGACGAAGGTGGTGTAGAAAAATGGTTATGGAGATTGGAGGGTGAGAAGCAAGTTGCAGTGAGGAGAGAATTAATGGCGACAAGTCAAGCCTTTTCTCTTTGCCTTTTCTCCTCGTGAAACCAAGTGCTCACACGTACACACTTCAACTATTCAACACACACTCACATCACATACGTATTTTTATATGTATTTTCAACACGTCTTCCCGTTCACACCCTCCAACTGTTTGATTTAATGTCCCAGTGAGTTCTTAATTTTCTATCACTTTTATTACTGCTCTCTCTCTCTCTCTCTCTCTCTCTCTCTCTAAGGAGAAGGGTGAGACTCCATTCAGTGTTTTGAATCGAGAAGAAAGAAGAAGATCAATATCTGGATCAAGATGGGTTCTTGTTTCAGTGTTGGATTGAAAATTGAAAGTTCACGTTTAGATGGTGAGTATATCGTATTCATATCATCTGCTTGTGATTTTAAACGCTGTTGTAACTTGTATATGTTTCGTGATGAAATTTTATATGTTTGTCTACAAGAACTCATACTTCTCATTTCATTTTCTTATCGATAATTTGTGACGAATTGTGTAAATATAAATATAAAACATAATAAAGTTGAATTTCTTCACAGTTTGATTAGAATTTTTCCAAGTTTAGATGTGTACTATATTTAGCATTAAATCAAACTTCAAACATGTGAAGGTGTGAATGATTCATTTTCTGTGATAGATCATAGTATCCAACTGCATAAAATTAAGCAGTACAGAGGGTAACATGGTCTTTTTGATAATAAAGGGTAGTATGGTCTTTTTGATGTGTTTAAACTTCAACAGGTAAAGTTACATCTGCATCAGTACCTCCAAGCCCTCGGAGCCCTAGAAGTCAAACAGAAATCTTACAATCGGGAAATTTAAAGCCTTTTAGCTTCAATGTACTTAAATTGGCTACAAGAAATTTCCGACCCGATAGTGTTCTTGGAGAAGGTGGATTCGGGTCGGTTTTCAAAGGATGGATCGATGAACAATCACTTACAGCCGCCAAACCTGGAACTGGAACTGTCATTGCTGTCAAGAGATTAAATCAAGAAGGTCTTCAAGGTCACCAAGAATGGCTGGTATGTTCCTATGCACAAATTCATTCTCGAATCTTCTTTATTTAACTCAATGAATTACAACTCATAATTTATTTTTTTGATCATGTTGCAGGCAGAAATTAATTATTTAGGGATGTTAAACCATCAAAATCTTGTGAAATTAATCGGTTACTGTTTAGAAGATGATCACAGACTGTTGGTATACGAGTTCATGCCTCGAGGGAGCTTGGAAAATCATCTTTTCAGAAGTAAGTTTTTTGCCATTATTGATCCAAATTTGGCAAAGTCTCCATCATTATTGAATCTTATGATCTGTTTATTATAACAGGAAGTTCTTACTTTCAACCTCTCTCATGGACCCTACGAATTAAGGTCGCTTTAGGTGCTGCGAAAGGGCTTGCTTACCTTCATAGCCCGGAAGCGAAAGTGATATATCGTGATTTCAAATCTTCAAATATCCTCATCGATTCTGTATGTTTCTCTCAAATTCATGTTTTCCATTTGATCTGATCATCTTCTACTCCATCATTGACGAATTTATCTTCAATAAACTCAACAGAATTACAATGCGAAACTTTCTGATTTCGGATTGGCAAAAGACGGACCGGTGGACGGAAAAAGTCATGTTTCTACGAGAGTTATGGGAACTTACGGATACGCAGCTCCGGAGTACATGGCGACAGGTAAACTTCTTCGACTCCGAATCAATTGGACTGGATTTAGCCCTAATCGCCGAATTGATCTAACTTTTTTTTTTTTTTTTTGTAAATTGATGCGTATTTTGAAGGTCATTTAACGGCGAGAAGTGATATATACAGTTTTGGGGTGGTGCTGCTGGAGATTTTGACGGGGAGGCGGTGCATCGACAAAAACCGTCCCTCCGGCGAGCAAATTCTGGTGGAGTTTGTTAAACCTTATTTATCGAGCAAACGACGGATTCTTCATATTATGGACCCGCGTCTCGGTGGACAGTACTCGCCGACGGTGGCGATGAGGGCGGCGATTCTGGCGATGAAATGTCTCTTGAAAGAACCGAAGCACCGGCCGAGTGCTGATGAGTTGGTGAAATCGTTGGAGCAGCTTCAGGATTTGCAGAAGGCGGCGGATAGTTCGAGAAAGGAACCGGTTCGGAAACAGGGTGATAGAAAACCGGATTCGTATCCGAGACCTGTTGGGTCGAGTTCGGGTGTGGGTGTGGGGTCAATTAGTGGAAAGAGTTGAGAAAGCGGCGGTAAAGGATTTGGGTGTACAGTTTTGACTTGTAATCTTGTATGTTGTGCTTTTGAAAGAGTGTTTGATTTTTTTATTTTTTTTATGAAAGCACAATGTAAAGGAATGATGACATTTATTTGTACGTGTTCTATTTCTACCCATTTATATGAAATTAGTCGTTTTTAGTTATCTGTTGTGGTCAATAAGCATTAGATAATCTTTTGAGAAAATTATTAAATTAGCCATAATTCCTAATTATTTTAGCAAAAAAAAAATGCACGTATCTCATGATAACCATTAAAATCTTAGGTTTCTTAAAAAATCCTATGGTCAACATAACCAAAAGAAATTTACTACATTTTTCGGAAAATAGGCTATTGTTTTATGGGTCTCCTACTCTTTCAGAGCTCGTTGGTCCATAATATATAAAGTTTTATTTTTTAGATTAGGTTTATGTAATTTTCAAGTAAGTTCGACTACTATATTTTTTCAATGAAGCCTTCAAAGAACAACCATGTATCTTTTGATTCTTGCTGTAATTTTAGCGTATTCTTGATTACGACTAGCTTTTATACATATAGTCTTTTTTTAGGTTTCATACGAAACCTACGGTGTACAAGTAGACAATGCATAGATTGTGCATCAAATGCTTGTATACCGTATGTTCCTTGATGAAACCATAGATTTTTCAAAAACTATTCTTTGGGAGACTGTAAACATTAGAAAGTAAACCATAGGTTTTTTAAAATCTACGGTTTTGATTTCGAAAATGAAAAAAAAAAAATTATATAGATGTCATTGAAACCATAGGTTTTAGGCGAAAGAGTAGACGAATTAGGAAACCTACGGTTTTAGTGGTTATTATGGGATAAATGCTAATTTTTGGCTAAAAATAGATAAGTAATTAAGGATTATGGTTAGTTTAGTATTTTTCTCTAATCTTTTAGGTTAAATGAATTAAGTTGTTCCGGTGATTGTTTAATCCGTATATAGGTATGGTATCGGTGTTATGTATCAGTTTTGAGAAGGAAAAAAAAATTGTTACTTGGTGTTTGAGTTATTGAGTATCTTATTTACCTGTCACATTATAGAGTTTAGCTTTTAAGAGTTGAGTTTATCAAGTTTTAACATTGGTTTAAGATAATTTAGAGTGATGTTAAATTTTTTTTTTGGAGCGGCGGAATTTATAAAACCACAGCTTAAAAAGAAGAGGTTGGTCAAAAAAGAAACAAACAACTTACATAATGTCAAAAGAAGAACAACACCAACGCTCCTACTTACAAGTACCAAAATTACCCCTATGTTTCAACCAAAACTAAACACCATAGAGAAAATGTTTTCCGGGAGTTTGAGATGATTTATATGAACTTTATTGAACCAAACATCATTTCTAGCCTTACATGCACTCCACAAAAAACCGTAATAGATGGCAATGAGGATCTTTTTTTTTTTTGGACAATTACCCCATGAAGCCGCAAAGTTAACAAATGAACCGTTTTTTTTTAAATAAATCCCCAAAAGTCCGCTTCATCTTCTATCAATTATTATTATTATTATTATTATTGTTATTATTATTATTGTTATTATATGTAACATCTATTAACAGCACGTGTGGAAATAAAATGCCACAACTTCAATGATTTTGGTAGAGTAAAGAATAAGTCATCCAACTCATTCGTTTTGTCATTTGTATGCGTGTAATGAATAGTCTTATTGTCTAAAAAATTCCATAAATACATGCATTTGAGGTCTTCATCGATTTATTGTTGGTCATACGAAATTTATATCGTCCATTGCATATGGTTTGAGATGGGGACACATTATCCTTATTTTTCTTCTTTGATGTTTATCACGTGGTTTGACATTATTAATCAATAAATCTTCTACGAATCGAGTTTCCTCTTCTAACAATTGTTTTGCAAATAAATAACCATCACGCAAGCTCATGATTATGTGTTCTACATATCAATGTTACTGTCAACAATCATATATATAAACAGAAAATAAATCTGATACTTTATGGTGGAGAGTTATGTTGTTCCTTTTAAACAAACATATATAATTAGTTATATTTAAACAAAATATCATAATAAATTAAAAGTAAACATATATAATCACATGAAATTACGAACGACTGGAAAATTGATCTCCAATTAGTCATGACTCATGAATAAAGATGAAACTATAAATGAATGTTTTGAATATGTATAAATATAAATTCGTTCATATGGTGATATATATATATATATATATATATATATATATATATATATATATATATATATATATATATATATATATATATATTGATAAATTTGAACGAATAATAATATGTCTTATCTAGAATATATTAATTGATCATCTGACTAAATACTGTATAATATTAGAATGATAAAATTACAATTTTAGAAACATTTGTAAATTAGTAATAACTTAAGAATCAAATCACTACAACGATTTCTTATTTGAATACAATTTTCAACATTTCCATTTTATTTTAATAATATATTTCAATATGCTTCTTTCTTTTCTATAAGCTATAAAAAGTAATTCATTTTATTTCAATTATATATTTTAATTCAAGCCCTACTCTCCTCTTCTAGTTCCATAAAAATGATTCATTAGATCTGTAAATGGTTTTAGTTAATTCCGAAAAAATATGCAATTTGAACCCAAAAAATGATTTCTATAATTTAATTATCGGAAATAACTACAAAATTACCTGATAGTATTAACTTAAATAAATATGTCTGATTTAGTTGATTGGAACCCCAAATACCACACTTTAAATACCCACATCCATTATTAATCTCGTATCACAAAAAGAAAGCGATTAAATGAAACTTTTTTTTAGAACGGGCTTTTAAAAAAAAAAAATAACTTATCTAGATTATTTGTATATTGTCAATATGTATGGACCTTCCATTGAAATCGTACTTATTTTATTTTATTTTTGATATACTTAATTGGAGAGGCCGCCATCCTTTTTTATTCAAAATAATTGGAGAGGCCGCCATCCTTTTTTATTTAAAAAAAAAAATAACTTATCTAGATTATTTGTATATTGTCAATATGTATAGACCTTCCATTGAAATCGTACTTATTTTATTTTATTTTTGATATACTTAATTGGAGAGGCCGCCATCCTTTTTTATTCAAAATAATTGGAGAGGTCGCCATCCTTTTTTATTTAAAAAAAAAAATAACTTATCTAGATTATTTGTATATTGTCAATATGTATAGACCTTCCATTGAAATCGTACTTATTTTATTTTATTTTTGATATACTTAATTGGAGAGGCCGCCATCCTTTTTTATTCAAAATAATTGGAGAGGCCGCCATCCTTTTTTATTTAAAAAAAAAATAACTTATCTAGATTATTTGTATATTGTCAATATGTATAGACCTTCCATTGAAATCGTACTTATTTTATTTTATTTTTGATATACTTAATTGGAGAGGCCGCCATCCTTTTTTATTCAAAATAATTGGAGAGGCCGCCATCCTTTTTTATTTAAAAAAAAAATAACTTATCTAGATTATTTGTATATTGTCAATATGTATAGACCTTCCATTGAAATCGTACTTATTTTATTTTATTTTTGATATACTTAATTGGAGAGGCCGCCATCCTTTTTTATTCAAAATAATTGGAGAGGCCGCCATCCTTTTTTATTTAAAAAAAAAAAATAACTTATCTAGATTATTTGTATATTGTCAATATGTATGGACCTTCCATTGAAATCGTACTTATTTTATTTTATTTTTGATATACTTAATTGGAGAGGCCGCCATCCTTTTTTATTCAAAATAATTGGAGAGGCCGCCATCCTTTTTTATTTAAAAAAAAAATAACTTATCTAGATTATTTGTATATTGTCAATATGTATAGACCTTCCATTGAAATCGTACTTATTTTATTTTATTTTTGATATACTTAATTGGAGAGGCCGCCATCCTTTTTTATTCAAAATAATTGGAGAGGTCGCCATCCTTTTTTATTTAAAAAAAAAAATAACTTATCTAGATTATTTGTATATTATCAATATGTATAGACCTTCCATTGAAATCGTACTTATTTTATTTTATTTTTGATATACTTAATTGGAGAGGCCGCCATCCTTTTTTATTCAAAATAATTGGAGAGGCCGCCATCCTTTTTTATTTAAAAAAAAAATAACTTATCTAGATTATTTGTATATTGTCAATATGTATAGACCTTCCATTGAAATCGTACTTATTTTATTTTATTTTTGATATACTTAATTGGAGAGGCCGCCATCCTTTTTTATTCAAAATAATTGGAGAGGCCGCCATCCTTTTTTATTTAAAAAAAAAATAACTTATCTAGATTATTTGTATATTGTCAATATGTATAGACCTTCCATTGAAATCGTACTTATTTTATTTTATTTTTGATATACTTAATTGGAGAGGCCGCCATCCTTTTTTATTCAAAATAATTGGAGAGGCCGCCATCCTTTTTTATTTAAAAAAAAAAAAATAACTTATCTAGATTATTTGTATATTGTCAATATGTATGGACCTTCCATTGAAATCGTACTTATTTTATTTTATTTTTGATATACTTAATTGGAGAGGCCGCCATCCTTTTTTATTCAAATAATTGGAGAGGCCGCCATCCTTTTTTATTTAAAAAAAAAATAACTTATCTAGATTATTTGTATATTGTCAATATGTATAGACCTTCCATTGAAATCGTACTTATTTTATTTTATTTTTGATATACTTAATTGGAGAGGCCGCCATCCTTTTTTATTCAAAATAATTGGAGAGGCCGCCATCCTTTTTTATTTAAAAAAAAAAAAAATAACTTATCTAGATTATTTGTATATTGTCAATATGTATGGACCTTCCATTGAAATCGTACTTATTTTTTTAGAACGGCTTTACCTAAAATCCTAAAATCCTACCTATGTACTTTTTTATTCAAAATAATAATGATAAAGAAAAATGAAGAAATTAAACTTGGCTTTGCGGGCCAAAAATGGAATTTTGGGATAGGCAAGTGGGAATAAAAACGTTACCATCTTTGTATTTTTTATTTATTTATTTAGGATATAGCCAACTTTTTAGTCATAGGAAAAA